AATGGTTGATATATTTTTTTTTAAGTGAACTTTGTTTGGCCAATTACCTTCATGAACATCTATATTTTGACGTCTAAATTAAATCTCTTTTTTACATGTTTTTCTTTTTTTTTTATCAAGTTCAAATAATTTTCTCAAATGTAATAATTTAAAATTATTTTCAAATAATTTTAGTAAATAGTATGCAAAAGAAGTATTATAATTATTTTTAAGTTCAAATAGTTGTTCAAATTGATTACTTTTAAAATTAATTATACTACATTAATTTAGTAAATATTGTGTAAAATATATTTAAAATATATATATTTTTTTTTTGAACAATATATTTATTACTTTTTTTAGTTTGCATATTACTGAGCAATCTTATTCACCTCATGAACAATTTTTATACCCAGATATGTAAAATTATCTGTTGAATCGAAGATAGAAGCATAATCTAGGTTATTTTTTCTCTCTGATTCATTAAGTAACATTATAGATGATTTGGAGTGATTAACTTTATATCCAGATATTTTTCCAAAAGTTTCAATGAGATCCAGGAGCGCTGGGACAGAGCTACTCAGATTTTTCAGGAACAAAATAATATCGTCTGCAAATAATGATAATTTATGTTCCAGATGACTCTCCTGGATTCCATAAATATCAGTATGTGCCCGTACCGCTATGGCGAATGGTTCTATTGCAAGGATAAAATAATAAAGGTGAAAGAGGACTCCCTTGTGGGCAACTCCTAGAGATACTAAAAGCTTTAGAGACCACATTATTGGTCAAAACTTCTGCAGTGAGCCCAGTACCTCTGGATATTAGCCCATTAATGTTGTCTTCAGCATCAGAAATACGTTGTTCAGCTTGTGCTATGCGCCCTGTGCATTCCTGTATCTCCTTTCTTACCTCCGTAATTGTTGTTTGCACACCATCGATTTTCTTATAAAGTCCACTTTTCAAGGACATTATGGCTTTCATAATATCCTGGTTGTTATTTCCACCCGAAGTTATTACTTCGTCATCTCCTTCGTCAGGGCCATCTTCTGCAGCCGCGATGGCATCGCTAATTTCTTCACCCTCGGAATATTCATCTTCGTTTCTTACCTTTTTCTTGTCTTTTTTGCCACCTTTGCGTGACATTTTAATTCCCTATTCTCTTATATTCGTGTTGTTTCACTTTAAACACAATTCTGGTTGGTATTGTAGGATTAATTGCAAACTAGCAGCAGAGCCAAAAAGTTGCGACCTCTTGGCACCTTGCCATAACCGGAAGTCCAATATTTATATTTTTAAAATAATTTTATTGCATTAATATTATTCGTGTGTTATTTACTATCTTTAAATTGTGTGATATATTTCTGCTTTACATCGGCCATTGGTTATACTATAGAACATAATCTGTTTATCACCGTTTTTGGTCCCTAATTGTTACTTTACGGCAGGATCCAGATAGTGTAATTCCAACATCAGCAGAGGCTAACTAGTCGATCCGCAGGGCAAGAGAAGGGTTACTTCATACCAACTCTCTCTCCACATCCTTCATTTTAAACCCTGCCTCAATAAGTGCCACAGTGATGGACGTCCTAAAAGGATGCAGATTTTATTGTATCTAATTTTCAACCAGCGCTTGAGCTTTAGCCAGCTAGACACTTTTTTAATGACTCTCCCATCTCAGAGGTCTCATTTCTACGGCAACATAAAGCCTCATCCACAGATAAGGCCTCTTATGTTCTCTTTTCCTTCTTATACTCTCTCTTATTTTCTTTTTCTTTTTGTCTCCCGACTGTTCTCTCTTATAGCATTGCCTTTGCATTTCTATTCGTGTCTGTTTATAATCGCTACATCTTTGAAGCAAACTGTTTTCCCCTCATTTACAAACAATGCAGCCCTCTCCATCTATTCATCCATCGAGAACTCTTTGTGCCATTTAAATGTGTTTCTTTTCAAAATCCATCTTTTGCTTGCCCACATGCAGTCTTGCCCACACTGAGTCTCACTTATCTCGCTTGGTGGACCTGAGGTAATTGTGCTCCATATTATTTACTGAGCTGAACCTGTATTCATCCACAGACCTGCTAATTAACTCCATCTGCCTATCATTGAAAAGCTCTAAATACTCTGCTCTTAATCTCCCATTGGGCGCTGACTCATACCGGCCAATCCCTGCTCCTTCCCTGGGAAGCCCAGCCCCATTAGAGTGGCTTTTAATGAATTAAAAGAATAAAACAAGCAGGCTCTCTCATAGCAGAGGTGAGGCTTGAGAGCAAAGGTGGTGCTTTAAAGGGAGTCCGTGCAGGCGCTGTGGTACCACTTCGTTTGTCCCTTCTGAACACAATTACAGTGACCCAGTGGGGAGTGCTATATCTCTAAGTCACAGAACATTGATCTTGTCCCTTCATGCTGTTTGATTGGCCGGCTAAAGCTGCTTTGGAAAAAGATGATCATCCGTTCGCTTTCTTGCTCCTCTTCAGTCCTGATTCGTGATTTATGAGGTGTCGGGAGGCTGTCATTGTGCGTGTGCATGTTTGAAGTGAGTTTGCTCAGTCTTAAGTCCTGGAAAATGACAAATGATTTTGTGGCTAGCTGTAGGGGAAGATAGCTGCAGATCAGAAGCATCATGTCCTTTCAAACTGTAACTAAAAGATACAAATGGATACACCATTATGTTGCATGATTATTGTATCTAAAATAACATGCTTGTCTAAAAGGATGTGGAAGAAATCAACTATTTACATGTCAGTCCAATCGAGTCACAAGACTTTTCTCTGAACGAATTGTTCAGTCACATGACTTGTTAAAGCTAAGTCAGAAATGTATTTGTTAAATGTTTTTCTTTTGCATGTACTTCACTGTGAAAATTGAAAATAATAATAATAATATAATTCAAAATGTCCATCTTAACCCTGCATATATGTTTTATAATATTAATTTTGAAAAGGCAAAATTAATTTTTTTATGCAAAAATTAAGTTGTAAAAAACTTAAACACTTAAAAAAAGTGGCTAATTTTGGCTAATCTTAATTTAAAAGTGGCTAATTTTGTACTATATACACGTTTTGTATTATACAGAAATTAATGCTTTTATTTAATGTTTTAATGTTTTTATTTAGCAAGGGAGCATTAAATTGATCAAAAGTAACAGTAAGGACTTTTACATTGTTACAAAGAATTGTATTTCAAATCATTGCAATCCTTTTGAACTTTCTATTCATCAAATTATCCTAAAATCTATTATAGTTTCTACAAAAGTATTAAGCATCACAGCTGTTTTCAACATTGATAATAAGACATGCTTCTTAAACACCAAATCAGCATATAAAATGATTTCTGAAGAATGATGTGACACTGAAGAATTGAGTCATTTCTGCTGAAAATGGAATAAATAAAAATTTAGATTAAAAATATGGCATATAACAATAAAAAACATTTTAAAAGTAACTTTTTTAACTGTTGAATATATACAAGTTTGAAAAAAATAACTCTTTTCGGTTTTTAATATATTTTAAAATGTAATTTATTCCTGTCCAGTGGGCATCTCGTCTTTTACTGAAGTGCGTGACCTTGAGCATGCTGTAATGTGTGTGTCTGTGTTTGACTTCCTGTTGTGCCAAATCCTTAAATCCAAATGCAAACAACTCTCCATCAATTTTGCCTCAAGTGCGCCGAATCACAAGCGACATCTAAGTGGAAGTGCGTGCATTTGCTTGACAGAAGTGACAGAGCGTTTTAAAGTCCGAGCAATGACACGGTGGCCACTCTGAAGTTGAATCCTCAAACACTTGTTGTGCTAGAGACTTTTTCCCCATCAGCCATGCACTGCTCCCTCATCAAAGAACAGCAGGACATCAACTACATGCCAGTCTGCACTGAAATTCAAAGTCTTTCAGATGCAGAACTAATGCACACTACTGAGGGAGTGATTTGAATGGCTGGTGTTATATTTCTGCAAATTTGGGTGCAGTTTGTTGATATAGGGAGATGGTGATGAGCTTTGACTTTCATCTCAGGCTGTTGTTTTGTTGTCACAGATTCAAGGTGTCAAATGGAGATGTACTGTGTAATGTCCCTGGTTGTGACGTGTTGAACAAATGTTCACTATCAACTCTGATAGAAGCAGATATGCTTTGGACTATTACTCTTTATCCTTCCTCCTTGACTTTTCTTAGTTTATAAATGTCACGATAAAATCCTACTATTGTTTACTAATATGTTCTGCCTTTGCGTTTGAAATGTTGCTCTTTTGTCTGCGGCAATGTGAACTAGTTTTTGTCTTATATAAAAAAAGTATTTTTTTACATTTACTCAATTTTTGTCATGTTGTATTCATTGATTTTACTGTGCCTAAACTGGCATCTAATTTTAGGTGATGAAATTAACATTTTAGTTGACAATAAATTGAAAAATTAAGCCAAATATATGTAATTTTATATATAAAATTATTGTTAAAATGAATTGAATAAAAATTTAAATGAATAAAAAAAAAAAAGAATGACAGTGAAAACTGACCTTGTTGTAAAAACTGGAGCTCCAAAAAAACTTTACACATTTTGACTTTCATGTAACTTAGTTCAAGTTCACTAGTTCAAGCACTTGTGTCATTTTGTGTAGATGCAAGTTGTAATTTTACATTTCTATTGTGTATGTATCTGATTAATTGCATGCGTTTGGATTAGTAAGTTTTAGTTTGTTAGTGAAACAATATCTTGCAGTGTTATTCTTTCCTGCCATATTTTTGTTAACAGCATGTTTAACAGTAAATTACTTAATTATCATCATGATTCGCATTTGAAAAATCTTCGCCAAGAACCAACAAGATTAACAATGAATGCCAATCAATAGCCAAAGTCAAAAAGAGAAACTCGTAGTTGATAAAACATGAATTATGAGATGCTTCAGTTTAAAGCTTTTAGAAAATCTAATTGATATGATGTATGAGGATGCTAAATGGTTGATTTTCTTTCTCCATATCTCTCTTCCCATCCGGTCTTTTTGTCCAAATCTTTTTCCTTTCTCAGGTTCCTGGCTATTCTCTGTGTCAGAGTTGGCGCTGCCAGGGGCAGAGGTGGGTCGGATCTCAGCAACAGATGCCGACTTGGGAGACAATGCCAAGCTAGAGTACACCATCCTGGACGGAGAGTCAGGGGACACCTTTAACATCACTGGAGCCAACCAAGAGGCCGTGATCATTCTGAACAAGGTGGGAAGAACGTTAACAGAACATATGGGGAAAGGCAACCCTGCTGAAAAGTCAGCATGAATTTTATTCGGTGTTGGTTTGTGTACCTCAAATGAGCAGATATGTTTTTTAAAAGCACATTTTGGACTCTTTTTGAGGCAACATCTCAACATTCCCATAGAAAATATGTGGACAGAAACTCGACTGCTGGCTGTCAGCTAAATATGGCTGCAGTAGTGAAGGTTGTCGAACAGCATTTCTGTTTGAAGCAGGCTGACCGAGAAAGTCTTGCTGGCTAAGCTAGTTAAGAATTCTGGTGGGAATGGCAGCACAATAGTGGTGACCGGCATCCAAAACACAATGCATGCTGGTAACCATCTACACTGGTCTTTTCAGCAGGGAAAAGTGTGTATGTGTGTGTGGGCATGGGTTTATAGAAGGTGGGAAGAGATCAGAAGACGCCTCATAGAGCAGATGATGTTTCTGGTGTAGGAGGGGCAGGTTACTCATTCTGCCAGGTGTCGTGAGGAGATCTGCTCCAGTGGAAGAAAAAAAACCTCCACAAAAGGCCAAAAACGAGTGTCTGTGCTGTATAGGCGATGTGAGTCAATGTTGAATCAGCCCCATCAAAGTCTGTGCAGCCTCTCGCACTCGTGTGCGTGCGAGACGCTAATCAGACAGGCTGCGAGAGAAAAGAGCGTGATTTATGCTGGCACACCGTGTGGTGCATGCCACACGCAGAGGTCCCATGAGACAGCACTCATCTCTGAGAGCCCGTTTCTTCACTGATAAAGATTCTGACTGTCATTGTTTGCCTGAGGGCATCTTCACATCACCAGAAACAGCACATGATGCATTTATAAATTAAAGGAATAGTTCGCTCGAATTTAAATTCTGTCATTGTTTACTCACCATCATGTCATGTTGTCATACAGTGACAGTTCATAGTCACCAGGGGTTGTCAAGCTCCAAACAGGACAAAAAAACACCATAAAAAAGTTGCCCACAGGACTCATGCATTATATTCCAAAACTTCTAAAATTGTATGTTGTGTGAGGAACAGAACAAAATGTAAGCCATTTGACTGATAATCTTGGTGCCAGACTCTATATATATAAGCCTGTGCTGATTGTGAGGTTAAACACTTGTGAGTTGGATTATTTATAAGAAAGCTGTCACTCCTTGTCGGTCCATTTCTAGCATGCGGCTTCCTCCTCCTACACAAATAGTCCAAACAGGTCATTGCTTATGCAAAAACACTATTTCTTTCACCTTAATGCATTCTAACAAGTATACATACATATATACAGATACTTTAACAGGTATACATAAATTTTATTCATTGCATAAAAAAATATTTTATGGCGTTTTTTTATCTTAACATTTCACGCTGATCATAGTTAACCCAGGGTTAACAATAATCCTTTGTTTTCATAAACTGGCATTTTACACTGAGTAAAGGATGACAGAATCTTTATTCCTGTGTAAACTGTCCCTGTAATGGAATCATCAGAATCATTTTATATAGAATAATCTCAACTAATCAGGTTTTGAGGTGATGCTCCATGAGATGACGACATTCGTTTTGAACTTCATGTTGCCCGTTATAGTTAAAAGGCTTGAAGCCCCATTTCTGAGCTGCTGGGAAGCCAGCTGATTGTGTGTGTGCTCTGCTCAGATCTGGATCTGTGATCAGACACTGGGAAAAGCGGGCACAGTTTTATTGATGCCAATCCAGCTTCCTGCACTCATTTGTGTGTGTGTCACAGCGACTGTACTGGGCCCCTGCGATCATGCAAGTTTGTTTGAATGTGTGTGTGTGTCAATAAATAAGGGGGTTTGTCGCTGTGACAGGCCTGGCAGGTGTGGGGAAGTCAGTTTTAAAAAAAGCTTTGGCTGCAGGTGAGCCTGGGAGGGATTTTAGGCCAGGGATGTATTACTGTGATAAGGGAAAACTGGAAAGGGGAAACAGACAGAAAGGAGCAGGGAGATTAAACGAGTGGCCAGAGAGAGGAGACAGTATATAGAGAGATACAGAGACGTGGAAGTAAGACATACACTAGGAGAGACCATATAAAAGATAAAAACATTAAGTTAAGGGAAAACGAGAGAAAGAAACCGTAAGAAAGAAAATATCAATTCGCAGTGCTGCTCTATCAGGCATACTGAAGATGTTACACAGTCTTACACATTCAGTTATTTGATCGGACGGTTAATTTTCTTTTAAAGGTGTACATACAGTAACTGACCGAATTTAAAGGCTGTGTCTATTTAAACAAAGTGCAAATCGACCTTTTTTACATTTCCAGCTTTGGGACACGGAACTACAGTATAACAGGTTTAACTGGACAGAACATAGCAAATATCTATCTATCTATCTATCTATCTATCTATCTATCTATCTATCGGGAACCAAACAAAATTGGAGCCCACTGACTTGGACTAGAAACACTGCGGCATTTCTCAAAATATTTTCTTTATGTTCCACAGAAGAAAGAAAGTGTGAGCAAATTATGACAGAATATTTTTTTAAGTCTTGTGAGCAATGATTAAGTATTATAAAGTATTAATCTGAGAAAGAAAGTGGAAGAGTATAGAAAGGAAAGAGGGAACGCTTTAGTCGTCTAATGCTTAGTGAAGGAGGAAATGAAAAGGGGGAATTATGGGTAAACAAATGAACTCCTCCCATGTCTCTCCTTGAATTCCTACTTCATCCTCCACTGCACTGATGCTTTATTCTCCCAATCATATTTTCTAAAATTGCTCCTGTGTTACGGTTCTCTCTAATATTCCTGTCAAAGCCACACCGAGACGGTTCCATTGTCTGTCAGGATTCTGGCCAGGACTCCTGACTGTGCTGTAAGACACAATGATGGAGAAGAAGATCAAGACAAAGACAGAGAAAGAGAACAATATATAAAGATATGCAGGTGGGAGTATCTGAAGACAAAGATTGAAGAGGTTTAAAGGGATTTAGCCAGAGAACCCACGCGCAACTAATAGAAAACATGAAAGATACCACTCTAATAGAATTAGAATAAACAAAGCGTAAAATTAGCACTAAGCTCCCCTTTGGTTTCCGGCCCATTAAACAAATATAAAAACGCTGAACATTATTTGTCGTGTTTGTGTTTGTTTACAGGACCCCGCTCTAGTTTGGCCACCTGCCTATGTCATTCAGAACAGCTGATCATCATGCCTGCCTCTTGTTTATTTCGCTCCGTATCAGAAAGACTGAAGTTGAAGGTTTCTTTGAGACAGAAAGGGAGAGTGAAAGATATGAAAAGAAAAGAAAGCATTACAGAAAGTGGAAGAGCTCGCCCCAGGGAGGAAAGTGTTTCCAATAGGAGCAATTTCTGTCATCACAATGCCCGCCATGACCTCTCAGGAACCCACAGAGTTTAGAGCATGGTCGCTTTTTGCTTAGAGGAGACACTGGCAAACATTCAAATACATACAAACAACCTTATATAATACATCTGTTGAAAAGACTGATGACTATATGTAGCATATCTGTTTAAGACATGGCAGCATGGACACTTAAAGCCATAGTTTAACCCCAAATTTAAGTTCTGTCGTCATTTATTTACCCTCACATTGTTCATGTCAAACCAATGACTTTCTTTTGTGCATAATACATCAAGATATTTTGTTGAATATCTAAGTTGCTCTTTTTTAACAAAAATGAATGAGCACTGGGATCACTGTGCTCTAAAGATTTCAAAAATATATAAATAAAGTGGTCACTGAATTCTTAAAATTATTCTTAAGTTGTATTTTTAACTGTACTAACTGAAGTTTGAATGAATAGTTTTCAAAAATGAAAATTTGCTGAAAAGGTACTCACCTTCAATTCATTCAAGATGTGAAATAATTTGTTTCAGATTTGGAGAAATTTAGCATTACATCACTTGCTCAGCAATGGATCCCCTGCAGTGAATGGGTGCCGTCAGAATGAGAGTCCAAACAGCTGATAAAGTATCACGTTAATCCACACGACTCCAGTCCATCAATTAATGTCTTGTGAAGTGAAAAGCCATATGTTTGTAAGAAATAAATCCATCATTAAGGCATTTTAACTTAAAACCATCGCTTCAGGCCAAAATCCCAGTTCATAACCTGTAATAATAATTCCTGCAGTAAAATAGTCCATCCCCTGTTGTCCGCAAAATCCATCAACATATTTGTGTAGGACTGTTTCGAACTGTTTTCTCTTGTAAATGGTGCTTGATCTGTACAAATTTCTCCTTACTGGAGAAAGCAGTATTATGGACAGATGTCTTGTATTTTAGCCAAACGCAGCAGTTAAAAAAAAGTCTTGATCTGTTTGTTTAATGCAAACACAAAGCTGGATTATTGTGATGTTTCTATCAGCTGTTTCAACTCTCATTCTGACGGCACCCATTCATCAGGATCCATTGGTGAGCAAGGGATGTAATGGTAAATGTCTCCAAATCTGTCCTGATGAAGAAACAAACTCATCTCCATCTTGGATGACCTGAAGGTAAGTATATGTCCGGCAATTTTCCTTTTTTAGGTCAGCTATTCCTTTAAGTGCTAAAAAGTTTAAGCTTTCCTGTAGCTCAAACAATATAGAATTCCCAGGGAAAGAAACAAATGATTAAAAAAAAGTGTACCTTGAATGCAATATAAATCGCTTTTATAAATGTAAATGTAATTAAAAAAAATATGTAAATAGCTTCATAGCTATCAAATCTCTTTTGCACTTTTTTTGGCTTTTCAAAATGCATTTTACCAGGTTTGACGTTAGTGATTATTCTTGCTTGATGTGCAGACATGAATGATTTTATATGTACTATTTTGACAGTACTTTGTTTGGACCTAGAGAGTCCAAGTCTCTGTTCATATTTGTATAGAAAAAACAGCTTGGATATCTGCAAAATATCTTCATTTGCATTCAGAATTTACAAAGAAGGAAATAAGCATTTGGAACAACATCCATATTCCTTTAGCTTAACCAGCAAGATCAACCAGCTCAAACTAGCATGAAAACTGGTGTA